AAAAAAAAAAGTTTATTTTAGGATTTCATTTACCCAAACTTACATCAATGCTGAACATACAGGAGGAGGAGCACTTACTTCACACATGTATTATCTTTAAATCTGGACCCACTAGGACAAGCTGTGAAAATGATGAGACAGTTAAAGAAGTAGATAAATAACTATTCAAAGAAAAACACACACACGGAGAGATGTTTGCTTGTTCACCAAGATATCTTACCAGTGCACATTCTGTCACTGAAGTCTGTTTGAAAATGTTTTTCCAAACAGGTACAGCTGTAAGCTCCATCCTGTGATGTGCAGTTTGAAGTTTTTACATCACAAGGGTTTTCAGCACACAGGTCTGTTGCTTTAAATAAAGGAGAGAGTGGAAAAAAGCTTTAGCTCATACAGCTTAAAGACTGAATACAAAATGTCCTCAGCAGTTACATAAGTCAGTAACTAACATGTCATGATGTGAACTGTGGATTGGAATATACAGTCTGCAGTTTAGTTATACCATTATCATTAGGACTTCATAAAAGTTTATCTAAATTATAGTTTCAGTTCAAAGTTCAGAATAGAAGCAACCATGAGCAAGAATTTGGCAAAGATCCAAAACTATTTATAAAGGGCTTTGGTGGAAACGGTTCGATTCAGACCGAAACGTAGATATAGTATAAAGGATTCTGAAACACATCTTGTCAATTATATTCTTTCTGAAAACAAATCTTTATCTTGTGTGAGTCTTGTTTTAGAAACATATCAACATAGAAGTTACTGGAAAAACACAGTGTGCTAGAATACAGGTAATAAACTTACGTTCAAATGTTGCCCCACTCAGCAAACAGTTATCACAAGTATTGTTTTCTAACTCCTTTATAACGTCATCTTCTTTGATTTCAGAACTGGCTTTGAAGATGATCTGTAGTACAGCAATGATCCCTGGGGGTGCCCTCAGCATACGACTGGCGCTTGGCCTGTTAAGACAGAAATCACATTTAGTGATGATTGCATCCTTTATTTTTTCAGGATAACACCATGTTAGTGTACAGTGATTCGAAATAGGCTGAAAAATTGTAAGGTAAAAGCTGTTGTCAGTCTGAGACTTACAAGAGTTTCAGCACTATAGAGCCAGAGTAACCGTCCTGCCCTTTATAAACTTCATCCAGCTGTGTTTTCAAAAGAAAATATGTTTTGGTCAAGATGAATAAGATATAATTATTTTTTAACTTAAGCTTAAATTTAGCTTGTAAAAATGTCAAAAAATGTCCATAAAGACACATTTATTGATAGAGAGTACTAACTGATTACTTACCGCAGCAACAATTTCATCTGCAGTTTCTTTAAATTCCTTTGATGTGGTGTTTGTCATTTTGTCATTAAATGGTTTTCTCAGGGAAAGTTTTCCAGGGAAAACTTTGGCTGAAAGCAATAAAGCATCATCAGAAGAAACTCAAAATCGAATAAAATTATACTTTATCCTGTCATTAACTTGCTGACAGGAGGAAGATTTATCCCAGTGTCATACAGTATCTCTGTTAAATATGACGCTACAACTAGCAGATACTTAGCATTATGACAGGAACTGATAGCTAACATAAAATCTTCTCTGCTTGCCTGGCAACAAGGCAACAAGAATATAGTTCAAGATGTCACTGCTCCTGCCCAAAATTAATCCCAGACAAATAAAAGATGAAACAAAACATAATCTGCCTTTCCTACTTTTTTTTTGTTTTTTGCATGGAATAAGAAGACCAAATCGAAAATATTAATTAGTGAACTAGCTGTTTGTCAGATTTAATAATTTTGTCACTAAGCTAGGCTAACAGTTTACTAACCTTACTTAGTGTTTATGCTGGGAAATGGTTAAGGGCATTTTCATATCTATAGTATGTTTACTCTGGTACAAATTGGTTAATACATTTGTAAACTTGGAGATTTTTCCCTTGGTTTGGTTTGTTTTCACACAGAAAGAAATCCAAGTCCATGGGACATTTTATGACAAGGGAGAAAAAAATCTTTGGCGTCATCTTGACACCAAAGATGTGAAAACACCCTAAGAGAGCTCTGTTTAGTTCAAAAGGTGCTTATGGTTTTGAATCACCCATTCTTCACTAACACTAGGTAAGACTTGTAAGAAGTTGACAGCTGTTGTAGACAAACAAATAATTACCATTTTCACATCTCAGGGTGATATTATTGTAAAAATCACCAGGCAAACACTTGCATACAAATGTCTGGTTGGCACGGGCTTCACAGGTGCTTCCAACACCACATGGATTTGAAAGACAGGGATCTTCAAAGTGGAAACAAAAGAAAAAATAATATAAGCCTTTGAAGCATTCTGTAAATACTTGGACTGGCTACAGATAACATTATACTTTTTATACAGGCTACTGGCCACATTACCCGGAGATGCTGAAGTAGGTGGAACCCCTGTTGCTGAACTTGATGGATCCGATGAAGTAGCTGGGGC